TAAGTGGAGCCAGGATTTCATTCCTTACCTATTACGCATCCTGAGCTGAATTCTGTATGGTATGAGGGCTCCAAGACCATCAGTGGTTGGTTGAATAGTAGTCGCTGTAGTTCAAACAGCAACAGGATAAGATATTGGGTTCCAGAACTTTGCTTGGAGATGAGGGGCTGTTTTATTGATGCATCTATCACCCTTTTGAAGTGGGTCTCCTTAGGTCTTACTATAGAGAATAAAAAGAAGCCTCAAAAGCAAGAGAGTGCTAGAAAGAAGCAGCTCATGAGGAAGCGGAGGTTAAGAATGATATTTAGTGCTACTGAGTGAAGAATGAAAAGATGGTGACTTTGGGGCACCAACCCATGTTGAGATGACAAAAAGGGGGATTCTCCCCATTTACAGTGGTGAATACATTTTGTTTCCTCTTTTAATGACAAGAACTGTGAAAGCAGAGCTCTCTGATGTTCCAAAAATCATCAGTTTTTGCATTTTGTTTTATGCAAAGCATGACCCCAGTTTTTATACACTTATGCTTTGAGTGTTAAATGCTTGAAGGTGAAGTATCAAAATAAGTCCTTAATGCTTTGCACAAGCTTAAAATAGCAAAAGGCAAAATTAGTCTGTACTGTGCAAGATTGACTAGAACAGGTGCAATAAAGAAGCTGCAACAGCAAAGTTTTAGTTCTGCATCAAACTGTCCTTTCATCTTTTTGGTATCAGGAAAGATTATATCTTTTCCCTTAGGTCAGAGAACCATATGCAAATAATTTGGAGGTAAAAGATAAGTTGTTTCCCTGAAAAGTAGTGTCCAGAGATATAAAAAGTAGTCCGGCAATTCATTTGCATTAGGAATGGCCATTGACTGCAATAGAAATTCTAGGCACTGGAGTTTACAAGGACCAGTCCCAGAGCTCTGTGTTTTCTCCAAAACAGGGACATTAGATGGTATGATTAATGGATGTGCACATTATTTCATCTTCTTATCACTAAACCAGGCAAATACAACTTAGATGGGGCTGCTATAAGGTGAGTGCATAACTGGCTGGATAACCATTCTCAAAGAGTAGTTATTAATGGTTCACAATCATGCTGGAAGGACATAAGTGAGGTTCCACAGGGGTCTGTTTTGGGACTGGTTCTGTTTAATATCTCCATCAACTATTTAGATGATGGCATAGAGAGTACGCTTATTAAGTTTGCAGATGATACCAAGCTGGGAGCAGTTGTAACTGCTTTGTAGGATAAGGTCATAATTCAAAATGATCTGGAGAAACTGGAGAAATGGTCTGAGGTAAATAGGATGAAGTTTAATAAGGACAAATGCAAAGTACTCCACTTAGGAAGGAACAATCAGTGTGTCACATACAGAATGGGAAGCAACTGTCTAGGAAGGAGGACTGCAGAAAAGGATCTAGGTATCATAGTGGACCACAAGCTAAATATGAGTCAACAGTGTGATGCTGTTACAAAAAAAGCCAACAAGATTCTGGGATGCAAACCATCTTGTTAGTCTTTAAAGTGCTACATAGTCCTGTTTTTTGTTTTAACAGGAGTGTTGTGAGCAAGACACGAGAAATCATTCTTCTACTCTACTCTGCACTGATTAGGCCTCAACTGGAATGTTGTGCCCAGTTCTGGGCACCACATTTCAAGAAAGATGTGGAGAAACTGGAGGAGCTCTAGAAAAGATCAACAAGAATGATAAAGGTCTAGAGAACATAAGCTATGAGGGAAGACTGAAAGAATTGGGCTTGTTTAGTTCGGAAAGGAGAAGACTGAAATGTGGCATGATAGCAGTTTTCAAGTATCTAAAAGGGTGTCACAAGGAGGAGAGGGAAAAATTGTTCTTCTTGGCCTCAGAGGATAGGACAAGAAGCAATGGGCTTAAACTGCAGCAAGGGAGATTTAGGTTGGACATTAGGAAAAACTTCCTCACTGTCAGAGTGGTTAAGCACTGGAATAAATTGCCTAGGGAGGTTGTGAAATCTCCATCACTGGAGATATTGAAGAGCAGGTTAGACAGACATTTATCACGGATGGTCTAGATGGTGCTTGGTTCTGCTGTGAGGGCAGGGGACTGGACTCGATGACCTCTCAAGGTCCCTTCCAGTTCTAGTGTTCTATGACTGCGAGGAGACTATACCTCACACTGCTTGATATTCTGCACACTGTAATATCCTTAGATTTAGATAAAACAAGGCTAAGTATTGTTGTTTAATACTCATTCTCAAAATAATCTTTTACAGTATAACATAGCTATGCTCCTCCTGCCAATATTATCTTATTTAGGCCAATTTGCATACAATTTGGCAGAAGAACTTGGGTGCACAGGATAAAACACTATCCGTCCATCTTTTTTACCCCAATTCAAATCTCATTTGATTAATCTCCAGTGATTTTTCAGGTTATTTCAGTGGATGGGTAACTGGAACTTGCTGACAATCTCTGCTCAGGAAAAACTCAGAGTAGAGGTAGAATGAGGGAAATAATTTCTGAGGTTAAAATGGTGGTGGAGAAAACTTCACAGGAAAATGTGCAAGCAGCATTCTGTACTAACAGACTCCCTTGCTCTGGTGAAGTGTTGGAGTGCTTGCTGTTGCTTTACTCCTCTTGGAGGTTCAAAATGCAAATAGGTAGAGAATTTATCCAATCTCATCACCATATATCATGGAAAAAATCAGCTACTAAGCACTCACAGAGACTGCCCTCACATTGGGAATGAACTCCCACACCATAATTTCCTTTCCCTCATACACCCACCACACAGATGTTATCAAGACTAATGCAATTAAAGTACTCCAATAATAGGCACAGGGACAAATCCTAAGCTAACTATTGCATCAGTGAAGAAATGTCCACTGTGCAATATTCACTTATTTCCCAACCCAACTTTTTGGCATGGCTACATTGCATGCTTTTTTCAGTTAGGGATGTTAATGGGTGATGCTTACCAATAACTGGTTAACAGGCGCCCGACTGAGCTGGAGCAGTTCCACGCCAGCAGCGTGGTGCGCTTCACCAGCCAGGCACACTGCTCCAGCCTGGGCATGAGGGCATTCCAGTGGCTCCCCACCCAACTGGTTAAGCGTATAGCTTAACCAGTTAACATTTAAAGCAAGAGTTTACATCCCTAGTGTACATACATAGGCAACTCCCCTACTCCTAGCACGGGCACAAACAGCAATAGACTGTGAGGCATAGTTTAGTTAAGACACGCGTGAAGGTATGGGTATGTATGTGAATACTTACCCTATGTGCTCTCGACTTGCCCAACATATGCCTCTCTCTCTATACTGATGTTTTTAGCAATGTAGTGTTCCTACTGCCTCCCTGCTCCTGGAGCTGATGTGTACTTACAATTAGGAATGTAGCTGTTACTGGGTTAACCGGGCCCGCTGCAGGCAGGGGCTACTCCAGCCCAGCCAGAGCGGCCCATGTCTGAAGTGGGCGCCCGTCAGGGCTGAAGCAGCCCCTGGCCCATGGGTAGATGGGGAGCTACTCCAACCACCCACTAGTTAACCGGTTAAACATTCACATGCCTACTTACAAGCTGCAGTGAGTATGCTTTTCATTGCAGCATACAGTTACATGGCTGGAGACCAGGCTCTGGGATGCCATGGACTGGAAGAGTCCCAGAGTCCAGGCTCTAGACTGCGTTTAGAAGTCTACACAGCAAAGAAACAGCCCCACAGCCTGAGCCCCAGGAGTCAGAATTGGCTGGGATGGGCCAGCTGTGGGTTTCCTTTGCAGGGTAGACATACCCTGAGAGCCTGCAATATACTATAACCTCTGTAGTCTGGGTGTCCCTAACTGAACATCTGTGGTATGGATCCTGGCAGGTGGAGGCAGAAGTGGCTCAGTGCTGCCGCTCCCATCTCTCCAACTGGGGGAATGGCATGCAGCAATGTGCTCTGCCAGAGGCTTTTCCCCACCACTACTGTAGTGGCAGGGTCATAATGGCTGGGAGCAGCAGGGGATGCGGAACCCTATCCCACATCCCACTCACTCCCTCCCTGGCTCGGCAAAATGTTTAATCTGGCAAACCCTGTTTCCCAGGGTTGCCAAATGAAAGAAGTTCAAATGTCTCACCTTTGTAGCTGATATTTAATGAGAATCCATAACCAGGACTTTTATTAAAGTCTTATGTCACTGGGTGGTACGTTGGATACACTGACACATATTTAGACCCAAACATCCACCTCAATCTATGGAGTAATCCTTAGCTCAAGGGATTACACAGGTGACGAAGCTGATCTGTTAGGTTGATTCTAAATCTGAAGTGATAAAAAGCACACACTTGCCTGATGTGATACTACATAATAGTTTTTTTTAAAATGGTTGCTCAATAATCCATTGTTATCTATTCAAGCAGCAGCCCTGCCTTTGGAAATTACCTTTTTCAGGACAAGCAAATAATCATCTCTGTGCTAATCTTTATGTGCAGGTTTACAGCAAATCGACATGGAAGTTATAAACCTTTCAATGACAGTCCCCAGGAAATCCCACTGGCACTTTAATCATTAATGGGCAAACATGTTTGTTACACTTGTAAAATTGGATTTTTGGAAAGTACTACATAATTTTTTGAGAATATATTTAGAAATTGCTAGATTCTGGCATCAATTTAGCAGAGCTACCACTGACAGAATATCCAATAAGGAAAACAAATTGGTTTGAAGTGAACACATGAAAAAAAACAAACAAAACATTTCTGTGTGTAAGGATCTTGCTGTTACATCAATGCATAAGTATTTATTATAAGATGTGCAACTGCCAATATTCTGGATCCTCTCTGTCCCTTTCATATTTTCAAGAAAGACAACAGTGAGGTAAAGAATCTTTGCTTATTACTCCTGTTTTACTTATTGGGTGTTCTCTAGAAATCCATACAGTCAGAGATAAAATTGCTTTGGAAGTCAGTGAGTGGTGTCTGAACATACACTGCAAAGTTGAGATACAGCAAGCAGAAGAGCAGTGAAAGCGGAGGGACTACCAATAGTACTTACCGAATGGATTTCCACTTCTTTTACTGCTGAAGAATGGGACTCATTATTTTTAGCTGAATTCTTTGGTGCAGCAAGTTCAGGTTTCATTACTTTTATATCAGATTTGCTTTCTTTGGCATCTGGATTAGTCACAGATCTGGCAGGACTTGGCTTCTGTGGAGGTGGTATTCGTGTAAGTGCTGATGGTGATGGGTTGACATCTTCCTCCTCCTCCTTGAGCTCATGTGCAAGTAGTGTTGGATTCGTTTTTACATAGTAGGTATGGTAATGACCATGCAGCTCCCCATTCTCTGTGCTGATGGGGTTGTGGTAGGCAGAAACTTTTGGCTGATGTTTCATTGCTATCTCCTCCTTCACAGGTGCTTTTGAATAGACAGGCTTATTGACCACAGCCGTTACAGTCTCACTAGCTAAACTCTTTTTTTCTTGGGTGTATCTTGCCCTTGAGCTGGAGTTTTGCTTTTTCAATTGTTTGGTAGGGGAAGGCTCAGATGGAAGAGGAAAACTGTGTTTTGGGCTTGCTTCAGGTGTCCCCGGGGGCGTGGTGCCCTTTCGATAAAAATGAGGTGATTCTTTGGGGGAAGGTGTTTTCTCTTTAACTTTATCTTCAGGATTTTCTTTAACCTCCACACTTTCTTGAAATCTTTGTTTGATATAATCAGGGCCTGAAAAAACAATATAACAATATCTTATCTCATTAAAACAAGAATAGGGCCTGGCAGCCATGCTGTGGATTTGAGTTTGAGACAAAAGCTGAAAAAAGAGAGGGAACATAAAAACTCACTTAGTTTTGGACTTATATTATAAGGCATTTGCTAATTAAAGTTGCTATACCTTTTCTTCTTTGCTTGGAAATACTAGGAGATTTTTACTATTGCTTTGATCACTTTGCATTCAGCCTTGCAAAGGCATTCAGCAGGTTGTCTCCAAATGAGGCCATTGAAATCAAAGGTGCTTAAATAACTTTCTAAATCTCAACACCAAGGGCTAAGTTTGTATTTGTCTCATGCACACATCTGCCATTTGTTTCTCTGGTAGCTCATTCTTGTATATCTACAAAGCATGGCCCTCATCACTATGGTACCTGTTTGATATTTTGGTCATTATATACTTAGGAGGCAATCTCTCTCCTTATGTCTTCATAGCCTATAAGGGAGTTAGCTTGAACCAATTATAGCTTTTCTGGTTTGATTAGTGGGTATCTGTATGAGGGATTGCAATGTCTCTGTCTTTGGATGTCTTCATTGCTCAGAACCCATACAAATACCTATCACATTCACACAAATATCCACTCATAATCAAACCAGAAAAGCTATAATTGATTCAAGCTAACTTACAACAAAGGAATTGCGCCTAGCAATTGCACCAACTTACAGCAAAGGAATTGCACCTACCTCCCCTTCCTTATCTCAGTTTAGTGGTGCTTTCACCTGGGCCAGCTTGCTTGTTTGGAACTTATCAGCTAATGGGCAAGTAGGGTTTTCACTTGGACTTGTAACTTTCCCTCTTTGCAGTGAGGATGCAGGCCATATCACTCAAATGTTGATAGTCCTTCAGCGCCTTCCCACAATTCTTTTGTATGTCCAGAAGAATAGACAAATTCTTCCATAATTTGTTGGGAAAGAATTAGAGTGCTGCAGATTAGTGTCACCCTGAGCACCAGGGGATATGCCCCCAGAAATTCTAACACCCCACAAGGTAAGTGACTGCTTACACTCAAGAAAGGCTGAGGTGCATAGGATGGAGTGCTGGATTATCTGAGTTAATTCTTCAGTGAAGACATGCCCTGTGTGAGTGGTGAAAAAGATACTGAGTGACAGTTAAGTGGAAATTACATAGATTTAGTTCTAAATATGGGGGGAGATTCAGAGTTACATCTCTCTAAAAGCATGTAATTCAATAGCTCCAGCTCCTATGAAAATTCTGGTGCTGCAGTACTGAAACTCGATTGTTTACAATTGAGATGCAATAATCCATGTGTTCTTTTTATTTCAAATCAATTACAACAGCAGCATTTGGTATAGAATATTGTAACTTGTTGCTGCTGGGAGCTGGGAATGAGTTTGCTACTATTGCTCTTTTCCCTATGCTTTGCATCTTCTGAAATAGACTTTTGACTGAATTCTCTTTCGCAAAGGAATTCCAGGCCTGAGGAAAATGACTGCACCCCTCATCCTGCCTGCATTTGTATTGAGGAAGTGAAAGATGCTTTAATCAGAGTAGGCAGATACAATGTTTTTATAGATCTGTCAGAAGTGGATGCGTCACTCCTCATCTGCATCACTGTTCACAGTGTCGCAGGTGAGAAGGAATCAGGGGCAGTGTGAGAGATTGGGAATTGCTGAGAGGGCTTGCAAGTAGTCTTTCTGAGGATAAGACTTTTTGGGCATTTAATGGGTTGACATGGGAGTTAAATCGGGGTACAGAGTTGGTGATTTAGGGGAAAGAATTTTTTTATGATGTTATGACTATCATTTTCCTTTACTGGGGAAAAGTTCAATATCTATGCTACCATTATTAAACTTACAGCTACAGTTAACAGATCCTTAACATCTCCCATTATGCAGGGGATCTCCTTCCCTTTGGGCTGAGTCCTAGTTAATAAAACAATATTCCACAGAGGGAATTATAAAACTCAAACATTGCCCATATGAGTCTGGTAGGTGACAGGTGATACACGTCTCTTAAAACAAAAAATAAGTACAAACTGGAAACTAGAAATGGTATGGAAATAGTAATGGGTTTATTATTTCCCTATAACTTTTATCTGTGGATCTGTATGTGTCAAAGGAAGAGAGTTGGCAGCTTTGGTTCACAAACCAATGCAAATCTACAGCACACAACCAACTATTTTACATATACACTCAAGACTGTGTCCCTGGGCAGCAGAACCTCAGTGAAATAAGTTCTTCATAACACACAAACACAAGTTGGTGATCTCTCTCTTTCTTCAAGTGTTTATACTGATTTGTTGCAGGTTTTAATAGTTTGACATTTGTACTTTGTTTCATTAATCATGTTGTCTTTAAGGGTTCAGAATCATTTGTACAAAATATACTTTGTTTCATTAATCATGTTGTCTTTAAGGGTTCAGAAATTATGACAATGTTCATTTTCATAATAATGAGATTAAAAAAACAAATTCATTGTTTTCTTTGCCTTCTTGTTCCCCCTTTGGACACATTCTGGTCATATTTTCAAGCTTTTCTCCACAACTACAAAGTCTAAAAATATACTTTAGAAGTCAACCAACCAACCAACCAACCACAACAACAACAAAAAAAGAAAGCGAGTGAGCTGAGGTTATCACTTGATTCCAAGAACTGGGATTTTAAGGAAACACCAACACACCAATTACATGTTGAACCTCCCTTATCCAGCACCCGTGGGACAAGGGGGAGTTAAGGCTTCTTACCGGGCTATAGGCTTTGTTCCCAGCTGGGGCTGTGCTTCCTGCTGCTGCCTCCAGCCCCATACCATGCAAGCCCTGACCAAGGCTGCAAACCCCATTGCAACAGTCCTGGACAGAGACTGGTCCTGCTGCCTCCAACTCCATCTGGGGCTGCACCCCCCCACAGAGCCGGCCCAGCTGCTGGCCCAGCTGACTCCAGCCCTGGCTGGGGCTGCGCTCTCTGCCACCAGCCCCAGCCAGGACTCCTCCAGTGCCAGCCCAAACCAGGGCTGTGTTTCCCACCACGCCAGCCCCAGACAGGGCTGCGCTCCCCATCACTGGCCCAGCCTGGGCTGTGCTTTTAAACCTGGCCAGCCGGGGCTCTCTAGTTCAGCAATACTTGTGGTCCTGCCGGACCATGGCCGTTGCCGGACCAGAGAGTCCCAGATTTTAGAGGTTCAATCTGAAAGTCATGGCTGTGACAGTATTGCAATTTTCTCTGATATATTATTGACAGCTAGTTAAAACTAAAATGTAATAAAGTACACTCTGTAATGCTGGAACTAGGATTCTTTATTGTCTTTGTTCACATGTGTTGCTCAGCCTTTTACACAACTCTGAAGTAAAAGAGTAGAAGGGACTTCAAAAAGGAGGGAAAGCCCATGCTGACGCCTGGCAAAATTGTAGTCTCTGAACTCCAGGAAAGACAGTGACTTCTCCATTAACTGGTTAAAAACAAACAAAGGGTAAGAATAAATGGTAAGTTTTCCGAGAGGAGAGAGGTAACTAGTGGGGGTCCCCCAACGGTCTGTCCTGGGATCCATCCTATTCAACTTATCAATGATCTAGAGAAAGGGGTAAATAGTGAGGTGGCAAAAATTGCAGATGATACCAAATTGCTCAAGATAATTAAAAGCAAAGTGGACTGTGAAAAGTTTGAAAACGATCTCACCAAACTAAGTGATTAGATAACAAAATGGAAAAGCGAAATTTAATGCTGATAAATGTAAAGTAATGCACATTGGAAAAAATTATCCCAACTATATATACAATGTGATGGGGACTAATTCGGCTACAACTACACAAGAGAGATCTTGGAGTCACTGTGGATAGTTCGCTGAAAACATCCACTCAGTGTGCATCAGCAATCAAAAAAGCAAATACAATGTTAGGAATCATTAAAAAAGGGACAGAGAATAAGATAGAAAATATCTTATTGCCTCTATATAAAACCATGGTATGCCCACATCTTGAATACTGTGTACAGATGTGGTCGTCTCATCTCATAAAAGATATATTGGCACTGGAAAAAATTTAGAGAAGGGCAACAAAAATGATTAGGGGTTTGGAATCGGTCCCATATGAAGAAAGATTAAAAAGACTTGGACTTTTCAGCTTAGGAAAGAGGAGACTAAGAGAGGATATGATAGAGGACTATAAAATAATGACTGGTATGGAAAAAGTGAATAAGGAAAAGTTATTTACTTATTCCCACAATAAAAGAACTAGTGGTCACCAAATGAAAATAATAGGCAGCAGATTTAAAACAAACAAAAGGAAGTTTTTCTTCACTTAGCACACAGTCAGCCTGTGGAACTCCTTGCCAGAGGATGCGCTGAAGGCTAGAACTTTAACAGGGTTCAAAAAAGAGCTAGATTCATGGAAGTTAGGTCCATCAATGGCTATTAGTCAGGCTGGGTAGAAATGGTATTCCTAGCCTCTGTTTCTCTGCAGGAGGGTGACAGGGAAGGGATAATGTGAGGATTACCTGTTGTGATCTCTTCCTCTGGGGTATCTGGGCTAGAAGGACTTTTGGTGTGACCCAATCTGGCTGTTCTTATGTTCTTAATGTTCCATTGTTATTCCCTCAGAGTACAGAGAAATCCAAGACGACAGAAAGGAGAAGGGGCTAAGATCATGATCCTGCTCCTGCCTCAACCTGGAAGAAAGGCTAAAGCTGGAGTGAATAAGGGCAAGGGTCATCCCATAAGGATAAGCAGCCTACCTGCCTGAATCAGGGTGGACAGGGATGAATTTAGCCTCCCTGAAGCATGTCTTTCCTTGCTGTCTCCCAGAGGCAACGTATCACCTCAGTTTAGGTCTCTTGTGCCCCATAGGCATGAGCTGAGCCCTCCCAATCTCATTTGTGCTATTTAATGAGCATGCATTTTTTTAAAACGTTTTTTCTATATCTGCAGAGATATAATGAAAAGTTAATCCTTTTTTTTTTTTTTTTTTGCAATTACAAAGGCAATTCTCCTCAAGATAGGTAAT